CTTATTATTTTACGTTAAGCGTTTCATTTTACTTTGCATTTTGCACACGCGATAAAACGCTTCATTTTGTCTTTCTTGGCAATACTTTTACGTCATACTCTATTCCTTAATCACAGTTGCTTTTTTTCTGTTTAGAATTTAATTATTTGAGTTGCGTGGCTGAATTATATTTCTTCGAATAATTACTATAAAACTATTTATTTATTCGGACTTTCAGCATATTTATTCAATTTTATTTATTTGAACTACATTTCTTTCGAAAACTGCCTTGCGACCCAGTATTCATCTCGATGGTTTGAAAACTGCATATAGCTTTGAAAAAGAAAATATTATAAAGCATGATTAATACATATATCAATAGGCCGTTCAGAAGAGATATATAAATGAAAAAGATGTAGAATTGATATGAATGGAAAAAATATGAAACTGATATTTTAATTTAAAATGATATGCACCCAATTCTCCACTACTTTACACAGTTTTAGCATTGTGCTATGGCTTTACAAAATTTTGTCACCCTACATTTAGTTTTTTAAAATAATCTCTAGATTTCGGATAGGTACAAATATTTCGTTTTTATTTAATAGCAAGTATCGAATAGCGTAACATAAAAGAAACTAAACTTTAGGGGGAAAATATTATTTTTTCGTTCTTCTTGGCTTGATGATGCCTTAATTTTTTCTTATTAACTCAAGAAGACTTTAATGCCTTAGCGATTTGCTTGAGGCATTCTGCAGATATATTCACAGTATCCTCCATTTTCTTTATTCGCTATATACAATAAACTGTTTTGAAACAGCTTGGTTTTCGTGGCACTTTTATAGGTAGAGTCATCGATTTCCCTTCATCAGCATGTATTCAGAGTAAGACAGTGAAGGTATTTTGACCGTAATGCTAGACAGCTTTAGAAGATACAGGTATTTTGACAGTCATGAGATGAAAGAACAACCTGATTTCATCAACACTGAAAATATTTTTAGCTTATATCGATCGAAATTTTTTAAACTTTAGCATATTCGTGTGAAACATGTTTGGATTCTCCGCTTATAGTATGAAATGACATCCTATGGTATAATTTAAATATATGCATTTGAACAACTGTCATCCTTCATATTCTTTTACTATGTTATCTTTTGATTTTTTTTTAAGATAGTCCAGTTTAAACTCATTAGACAAGTAGTTGAGTTAAAACGTGCTTACCAAATAATAGAGGGAGAGAGCATCTCCCAAACATTTCTAGTCAATAGAATTTAGTTTTTATTCTGCGCCAACTGGTGATGCGATCTTAATATAGGGTATAAATGTTCTAAATTATATAACTTTGAAAAATTTTTAAGACAAGTATTTGATATATTAAAAAGGATATTTTTTAAATAACCTGTAATAGTATAAGGAATAACTATGTATTTGAAACGTTTTTCGTAAGAGAAGTAATACAAAAATTTATGTTTCAAATATTTTTATTAAAAGATGGAATATGACCAAAACAGTAAAATTCTAAACACTTAATTGATTTTGTTAAATACTTAATGTTTTAAATTTTGTACTACGATATAGGTATATCGTGCATAGAGTTTTCGATTTTAGGAAAACGAGAAGAATTGATTCACATGCAGTCTAACCTGATGAAAGACACCTTTCAAAAACAAATGTTAAAATTTTGAATTTGAATTAGTCTCAATTTCGGGGGGCGGTGGTATGTGTCAATATTCAATTATCTGCGAATTGCTAGTTCCGACAGCCTTTCCGTCAAAAATGCCCACTAGCTGAAGTTCAAGTAATCGAATTTTTAGTGTATATTCACAATATGACAAATAAGTAATTAGAGTGTAATGTCGAAACATTGCTAAATTTACACTGACACACTTTCCTGTTTTAATGCAAATATGACCGGTTATTAAAGGGATTGCTTGTAAAAAGTTGGTTATGGCACGAATGTAAGAACAGAACCTTTCATCTCTTCCATGTCAGAAAAAAAATTCTTTTCAAAGGACAATTCAGTTTTGGGGAAGCAAAAATAGTCGCACAGAAAGAAATCTGGAGAACACGCAGGATAACTGAGTACATATGCTTATTTTCGATACAAAGCAGATATATGAAGTAATTATAGGCCGATGGGAAAATGTATTATCGTGCAATATAATGCGTTTGGAATAACTTTTCGAATAATTATCAGCCACTTAAAATTCAACTCCACAGACAAAACTTTAAAAACTACAGAGTTTTTTTAGCTTTAATATAAATCTAATCTAGAAACCTATTTAATCTTTCCAAGGTGAATAAAGAAGGGAAATAATCGTCTTGTCTTTAGCTTAGATTACAAGAACACTAAGTTAGAAATTTTCATAATTTCTTCTTGTAAAATAAGAGGTTATTATTTTTGTTATTATTTCTTTTCCAATAAATGGAACAGAAATAATAATAATATGTAAATAAATGTAACAATAATAATAATTTTATATGTTACTAATTGATTAGAATACAGATACATTCTAAATCAGAATTTTAAGCATATATTTAAAATACGCTACATAAGAAATGCATTTCAAGGTAAAAAATTAGTTTTTAAAATTTTTTAAATATTTAAGATATGTTTGGTAAAGGTCGTGCTCTCGTTGGCTATCGAAGGCTTGTTGGCTAAATGTTATATCAAATAAAAAATATGCTGTGATTTTTTTAAAGAAAGGTCTTTGCTGATAACATTAGCAGTCTTCTCAAATATAAGCAACAACTTCTCAAACATAAAACTTTTAAGTATTTTATACAAATATTGCCTCAAAATATTTGACAAAGGCGTTTTATGTCCCTGTCCAAAGAGACATAAAACGTCTTCGTAATAATTTTTATCTGTTGCATTTGCTACAGAAGGAAAAAAGAATGAAAATCTTATTTTCGTGTAAATTTTGCCCGTTAAGCATTTTTATACTAGAAGACAGCATATTTTATTTACATTTTTGGTACATTTTATGAAGTATTTAAAAATATTAAATACATATGTGATTCACCCTTTTCAAATTGCAAATAAATTTCTTTACATATAATTTAAAATAAAAACAGCAGATGATAAAATAGCGAAAAAAATTTTACTCTTACGAAAAAAAAAATTTTAGCCTCTAATTAATATTTTTAATAAATATAAAAAAGATATTTCATATGTTATTAATAAATATTTATTACTCATCATTAATAAAATTGAGAATAAAAAAATTCCATATGAATACTTCTCAGCAAAAATCTTCTTCGAAATTTAAGGCTAAAAATTCACTGTAAATTGTACCAAAGTGCGTAAACCACATTTGGCGTTATTATCGCCAAATACGCCAAATTTCAGAGCGCACCAACACATAAATTCCGGTATATCTTCGGACATTTTGAAGGAAAACTTTTTTGCAGGTATGCCTAGAAACACATTTACTTTACAATGACTTAATATGACGGTAAAAGTTTTATAGATATTTATCGATGTAGAATTGTTTTTCGAAAAATTTATAAAAAATATTTTAAACTACAAATTTTAAAAATAAATCAAAAGAAATGTATCGCTTTGTTTGGAAAAAAGCTAAGTTTCGTAGTATGAAAAAGGAAATTAAGTAAAAGCGATATTATTAAATATAATCCAAAATTCACTTAACATTGCAAGGTTAAGATTTTTTAGGGTTAATTAAACAAACTACTCCTGCGATTTTTATAGTAATTGGCAATTTATAATAGTTTTATAATAATCGACGTGCCAATTCATAAAACGTTCGATTTTGTGTCGCTGTATATATATATATATATATTAGAGTAATGCTATATGTAAATGTAATATATATCATAAATCGCACTTTTGAGACATAGAAAATGCAAATTTAATTTCGTTGATCGGCAGACGAGAACAGAAGACATACAACTGCCCCTTTCCTTTCTCCCTTTTTTAATAATGTACATTTAATAAATATTTGCCAAATGCTTTCGAAGATATTCTTATGCATGCAACTTAAAATATGTCCAAACCTTTATTTAAAGGAATTCATGGCTTCAAGAACATTCTTTTAAGTGTTAAAAGACTTAAATATTAAAGATACCTAAGTTCTCGTGCGAGAAATATAATTTTCAAGGTAATGGATTTATTGGGATGATTGAAAAAGCTAAGAGAAATACACGATTTCTTAAAATAATTCATTTTAAAGCAAATCGTCAGGCTTTTCTTTTACAAATTTAAGTTTAAAATGTATGGTAGCAAAACATCAAGACCACAGTTTCAACATATTAATTAATCTGCTGCAATCTATTTGAAATATATTTCACGAAAAACTTAGAATGTAATTTTATTCAAATTCACTGATAGCAAATGTTTTTACTTCAGTTGCTTGTCTAGAGTTTTCTGCTCTTTTATTGAAATAAATGAGATCTAATCTCAGATATGATTAGATTAGTTTATTTCTAATGATAGAAGGAAACTACCTTTCATTATATCTGAACCTCCGAATGTCATTTTACTATTAAGTATTATTATTTTAATTATTATTAATAATTCAAATGCACCTTGATGTTATAAAAATAATCAAGAAATTAGAAGTATATCTTACTGATTTTTATGAAATACATTTTTTATACGTGCTTGAAACAAAAAGGTTACGTTTAATGCATTAGTACTGACACCAGCTTGGGATTTTTCAAAGTATATCGTTGAAATTACTTCAGATCTTTTTTAGAACACTTGCAATAAGTTGTAGTTGTTTTCACTTCCAGATAATAATAATATTATGGTCTAACGTATTTTGATACAGACTGTAATTTTTTCTCTTAAAGACATTTACGATTACTTTTATAATTATTCTTTCGTGTAATTTAAATATTAGAAAAAATGCGATAACCCTTTTTGAAATTCTGGTTGTTTTTCGTTACTTCTTTAAATATTTATAGCGTTTTTTAGAAATTTAGAATTCTCTTAAAATGAAATGTCACAATTATTAAAATTCTGCAATGAATTTATATGAGGTAATTTTGAATTTCAGAGACTCAACGACGGATACACCCATGGTTATCTTCAGGTAAATTAACTAATTATTTTGAGATACATATCTCAAGTACTATTTTGGATCTATTTACTTTCCCTTTTTCAATACCTCTTAGCAAACAACATGTAGCATGCTGCATGACACATTTGAGTAGAAAATTATTTTATAATCTGTTTAAGAAAATTAATTTCGCATGACTTGAAAGTACCTTCTCATATAAGTTATTCTAGAACCTCTTTTTCATTGTTATGCGCACGCTTGTTTTGAAAATAAATTCTACACATGTATCTTCTATTGGGACAAGTAGTGTCAAATTCTAATCCATTCTGCACGCGAGTATCTTTCATAAGAGTTCATTATTTAACTTCGAAAATTCAACCTTTTATAAAGATGAGTGAAAGAAATTTATAATATTACATAGTTTGGAAAACTTTGCATCTTTCTTGTTCAGTCTTTCAATTCAGTAAGTGCCCGTCTACACGAAGAGACAAAGTTGCTCAGCGGAAAAGGAAAGTTTCCTTCGCCGACTTGTCGCCTCACAACATTTTGCTCCACAAAGCAATTTTGTTTCTAAGATATTCTATTAAGTTAGTCAGGGCAGATAGGATGACTGTATCAACTAGGAGATTTCCATGAATCTCACGAAAAACATAATAACTAGCAAAGCTTCAATGGCTTGATTTTTCTAAGTTTACTTTAAACAATAAGTTATTATAATAATAATAGCATTAATAAACACGAAATTTATTAACAGACAGAAAGTATCAAGGACTAAAAATATAAAATAAGAGAAATTAATAAAAAATTGTGAATTTAAAAAGAATAAAAATGGAGTGAGAAAGAAAAGCAGCTAATTGTGAAACGTCATGCATACATGTATTATTCTATATTCTAAATTTATTTTACATAAAAGAAGAAAATTAATCAGTTACTTTATATATAGAATAAAATACAGATACCTTGTTGATAATTAGATATATAATAAACATCATTTTGATTGCATGAAAGATGAAAAAAATAATTGCTTTATAAAAAATGTAAAAATCTAATAATTTCATTTATATAATTAGTATAAAATTATTACATAAATAACTAACTCATGTAAAGTTTTATGTATAATCATAAAATAAAGTAAAAAATACTACACGTTGCATTGATCAATTTTATTAGTTTTTACATTAACAGAATTTTGTTAATTATAAAACTATATAAACAATAAAGCACTATTTTCTGTAGGAAAATCAGAAAACAGCTCAGATGGCTTTAAGTCTATTAGTCTGACGATTCACAAAAATTGTACCACTTGAGCTAGTGCGCTACATGATCGAGCTAGCTAAGCGTAGCCTAAAAGCTGAAAATCCACTAAATAATCGAAAAAAAGTAATCAAATGATATATTTAGCTTTTCTTATTTATCAGAATTCTCAGAATATAAGAATATAAACTGGTTTCCAAGACGTAAGCATCAAATGGAAACCTGATGATAATTACAAAAGTATGCACGCAAATTGGACAAAACTTGGTGATGATATTTATTGTATCAACTGAAAAACCCAAATTTTATATGGAATACGTAAATATGTAGATTATTTACGTTATACAATATCAACATAAAGATAAAATCTCGTAAATTCGGACATACAATTTAAATTTTAAAAATAAAATTCTCAATATTGAGAATGATCACCTCGAACAGCAATACAAGTCTGACACCGATGTCCAATGCTATTTATGGTGTTTTAAGTTAGCTGCATGGAGAACTGTGCCTATTGATTACCTAAACAGGCGTACCGAAAGTGTCTTATTCCTGCTCAATGGGGTTAAGGTCGCGAGAGCACATTGGTTATTACCGTTTGGCTTATAATTTCTTCTTCAAGAAATTAGTGCGCGAGGTAAGCAGTGTGAGAGCAGTCATTTTGAAAAATGAAGACATTGTTAATTGCGGCAGGATACAGATGACTAGTAGGATCTGAATTTTAAGAGTTTCATTTGGTAGCGCATACAGGTCTGTACGCAGATCTAAAGATGCTCATCCCTATATAAGAACACTATCTCCTGCATAGGTATTCCTTTCCGGCGTGTTAGACGAAAGACATCGAGTGTTGCTTCTCTCCATATTAAAAAAGTCAAGAATAACTGTAAAACAAAGTTGGACTCATCGGTGAACATAAAGACTTTCAACGATTTTCAGTCCAATTTACATGAATGTGTGTCTATTCAAACTCTTCCTCTGGTGGTTGGCTGTAAGCTGAACTCACAATACCGATCCTCTCGCAAAGAGATTTCTTTCATGCAACCTTCTGCGTATTGTCGTATCTGATACTGCCCCTCCTGTAGTAGAAGCACTGATCTAAGTTTGCAGTTCTGTTGTTACGTGCACTAAGTCACAAATACCGCTCATCTGCAGAAGTGAGGGCTCTTAGCCTACCTTCGGTAGGTCTTCGAGAAACTGAACGAGTAGTTAGAAATTGGTTCCACAGCCAAGTTCCCGCGGACAATTAGCGACTCTGCAACGTTGGACTGTTGTTCAACTGCTTCTAATCAGTTTATACCTCGATAATGGGATTCTGTTGGCAAATGTCGCTTAGAACTCATTTTTACACTTTGCTATCTATAAACTGCTTAACACACCGTCGTTCACTGAATAGCGATTCGCTCCTAAGCAGCTGAATTCAAACTCATTTATGTAAAACCAGTGTAGCAATTCAATTTAACGGGAGCAAATACCCTACCAGATTTAGTGATTTCTTACAAATTAGGTAAAAGCAAATGTCCGTTTATAGCTTGTACAGATTTTAGGTATTTTTTGGAGGCCAGAGAGATGAAAAATTAGCAAACGCCTTCGCCGGGAATCGAACCACGGACCTTTGGAATACCGGCCCAGCGTGCAGAAGTATTACACCACGAAGGCATGCTAGAAGGGTGGGAGAAATACCTTATATACTCCCCCTTTTAAAGGGTGACTGGGGTTTTTAGGGGAGCCAATTGCCAAATCCTAGGTGTGGAGAACCATCGTCCAACACCCTTTTAGTTCGGGCGCGACTGTCGAGAGATTAGGTATTTTTTTGGAAGCAGGCAAGTGAAAAATGAGCAATCGCCTTCGCCGGGAATCGAACCACGAACCTCTGGATAACGGCCCAGCATGCAGAATCACTTCACCACGAAGGCATGCAAGAAAGGTGGGAGAAATACCTAATAAGCTAACAATAAAAAATCACTTGTGTTAACACCAGAAAGAATATTTTATCATTTATAAAAAGGCTTTTCAAAATTATGACCGAAATAATTGTTGCATTATAAATTAAGTAAAATAGTAACAAAACCCCCAACTATTTCGTGGCATATATAATTTTGTAAGCAAAATGTTGATTTAGTTACCGCCATTGCGTTTTGGTCGCGTGATTCCCATACGCAGTTTCATTCGGTTACAGCCGAAAACATCGCGGCAAAAACATCGCAGACGAAAACGTTGCGGAGAAAACAACGCAAGGCAAAAACGTCGTGCTACAAAACATCGTGGGAGAAAACATCGCAAAGAGAAAACATCGCAGTTCTAAAACATCGTGGCACAAAACATCGTCGTCGAAGATAAAGCGGCTCAAAAACTTCGCAGTTTAAAAACATCGTCGTCGAAAATATCGTGGTAAAAAATAAAGTATCTACAAATCATCGCATGACGATAACATCGCAGACATGATTTTTTTCAGGCTTTAATAACTATAAATGCATATTTCCCGTAATGATTTGTGAGCGCAAGATGGAAAAGAAGGATAATTTTTACTTTCATATTTTTTATTAATCAATAAATTTTTTGCTGAGAAAATATAAAGGAAACTTAAGCATATTAATAAATAATAATACTTAAGCATATAAAGGAAAATTAATGCAACTTATAGCACTTAATAGAATTTTAAACCGACATACTAGTTAACTAACAAAGGTCATTAATAAATCATTTTTATAAAGTTTTTACTGGTAATTTTTCATGAAAAGTATAATCTATAAGTTGCATTTAATTTTCTATGCTTAAGTTTCCTTCTTACTTTTTCAGCAAAAATTTATTAGTTAATAAAAAAGTGTGAAAGTAAAAATTATCCTTTTTTTTACATCTTGCGCTCACAAATCATTATGGGAATATCCATTTACAAATTATTAAACCTGAAAAAAGCATGTCTGCGATGTTATCGTCATGCGATGATTTGTAGATACTTTATTTTTTACCACGATATTTTCGACGACGATGTTTTCAAACTGCGAAGTTTTTGAACCGCTTTATTTTCGACGACGATATTTTGTACCGCGATGTTTTAGAACTGCGATGTTTTCTCTTTGCGATGTTTTCTCCCACGATGTTTTGTAGCACGACGTTTTCGCCTTGCGTTGTTTTCTCCGCGACGTTTTTGTCCGCGATGTTTTTGCCGCGATGTTATCGGCGGACACCGTTTCATTCACTTCCCTAAAACAAATCTCCCATAACATTGTTTCCTAACATGGTCAATAAGTACGACTCCTGTACCAGTCTCCGCAACATATATCTAATGCGTCAGCGATATATTTCCTTATATACACGGAATGGTACAGGCACCGCAGACGTCGAAAAGTAATTGTCTTCTCGCGTAGACGGGCCTGAATATTGCTAAAAATAACTTCAAAGATCTCGACAGAAACAAAATTATATAAGATTTAAAATCGAGATTATCCAGTAAAGAATTATCCAGCTAATTAATATTTTGCTTTTAATGTCGTTAAAGGGAAAAAAACTATTTTGATGCCACTCAAGGGTTATTATTTTATGAATAAATCAATAAAGTATTCTTTATCTTTCGAGCTGCTTTTTAATACAGAATAAATAGTTTATTTCACTATGCGAAAGTAAATACGTTAGATTTTGAAATGAAAAATCGTGCTTCTACCTAAGTGTTTCTTGCACTGTGCTTTATATGTTGTTTCCAATGGTGCTTGGATATCTTTAATATACTCATTCCGGGACTGAAAAGCAATATTATTCTTTCCGCATTGAAAAACACCATCTAG